TTTCCCTAAAATCCTTTTCCTTCACATAAATCTGCATGATGCAAGGGAAAGTTAAGGGAAGGAAGAGGAAAACCCTTTCAAAAACCTTCGGCCCACTTTCTCTGAAAAACTGGCATGGGAATTAAATTGCCAATTTGCTTGCTGAGATAGACAATAGTGGAAATAATAGGTCGTTTATGTGTTATGAAGAGCAACAAAAGCAAAGCCTCCATATGATCCCACCAACAGGTGCACTCTGTTGGATCAGATCAGGCTACAGCATCAATGGTTCTCAGATGCTCACAACAAAAGGCTCAAAAGTAGGGACGCAAACCACAACTCCATACATGTATATACAAATTCTACATAAACTAAACACCAAGCTGAGGACAAAAACCTTCTGTGACATGCCATGAACAAGTTGCCAACTGTATCTACAAGATGTCATATCAAGCAATAGCAACTACTTCTAACCTCGAAAAATGTGTCGAAAATGCCACTCATTGCCATGCAGATCAGTTGCAACCAATTCCTGCCAAGGTGGCTGCTGAGACATATCCTGGATGAAAAAGAGAATGGCATAAACTCAAGAGGCACATAAGTGGCCCTATAATGCATATTAGGAATGTCAAAATGATAAAATTTAGATGCTAACCAAAGGAGGCAGACAATCATCTGCGTGCCTTCGAAGAACAGAGAAACCACCATGAGTGCTTGTGTCAGAAGCAGTAAGTGTCTTGCAAAATGAATGGACCGTGCATCTTTCAGGTTCTGGAAGTGGAGGATCAGGACTAGTAACCTCGCTTTGCTGATTCATAGAGGAAATGATGAAAATGGCAGATTTGGCAAAAAAAGTACAAAATAAAAATGCACTCAGAAACCTTGTCTGCTACAAAAATAGAGAGCTTACATCTGGTTCAGGAAGCAGTGTTATCTGGGCATAAACTTCATCTGTTTCGGGTTCAGCCTACAATCCATAGCGAAAATAGTTGATGAACAAATATGCATAAAATAATCCAGATTTTCTCACCATGTTAAAAAGAACCCATGTTAGGATTCATCAAAATAAAATGTTAGATTTTCACCAGCCAACTCACCCTGCGCTGAACATTAACCACTTTACACAGAATTTTAGATGGAAGGTTAAATGAGGGCATTTGCTGCTCCATCCCCTGATGCATTGATGCTTCAAGCTAACAAAACAGATATGAAAACTCTGTAAGAAAACTGCAAGACAGAATATACAATAGAACAAGTAGGAAACAGGAACTTGCCTACATATCTATGAGTACAATATTTTACAATAAGCAACATGATATAGTGCAAAATTCATTGAGCTGCACTTTATTTGGGAATACCTGTTCCATGTGACCTTGAGGAAAATAATAAACTCGCTCCCCTTCACAAGGAAGAGTGACAAGAGGCCCGGCACCGGCATGCCATAGTTCTTTGTACAAAGCATCATTGCATCCCCCTATTTATGGAAGGTCACTGGGTTAAATTTCATGAGGTGACAAACAGAAAGAAGACACACAAAAGAAAGCCAACACCACAGATATCAGGAGCAAGTTAAATTATAGCTAGCCATGTGAAATAGGTAAAAGAATTGAAGAGAGGAGCAGGTAAAATAGGCTGTTACAAAAGATCACATTGCTAGGGCACAATTAAAAAACCACCATTTCAAAGCAAAACTTTGCCCTATAGGAAAATTTTGACATTGCATGGGATTGATAAGCATGAATTGTCATCTCCTAGCCCAATGTTATCAGACAAATCCAGCCAATTGCATCTGAATCAAT